GGGGGGCACGACTCCCATATGAAAAAGTCGATGGTGCTGGTCTTCTCGTTTAGGGGTGTAAATCAACGATTTTGTTCTCACTGACTTGAGGGAAGTCGGGACGAAACGCCACCATTTTTAGCAGTCGGCAAAGTGTCTTTTAGGATGCACTCGATTAAAGCTCGAGCCACCAGATACCTTTGACCCGTCTTGGGTTATGTTTTGATGACGTATTCCTGGATTAAAACGCTGCTGTTGGAGCCAAATCCTCTTTGTTCTATTGCTCTCCGAAGATTTTATTTCCTGTAATAGATCTCAACCTCTCTGCAGCCACAGAGTTTTTAAAAGTGCTTTCTTTCCAAGGCCAAAAACCTATTATCACAATATCATCATGATAGTGACTGATGAGAAACATTCACTGGGAGTGAACAAAGACATACATAACTGAAAGTTATCTTCGCATCCGTAACGCATTCCTTAATGAATTGAGTGAAAGTGAGAGAAAGAAGAACTGAGTGACATTTTTTCTTCAGTATGGGATCACTTTCTGGGAGTAATTCTATCCGGTTTAAGATAACCACTTCCAAATTCAGACCTCTCACTTTACTGCATAAGCTTCATGAGACTGAACATTTTTAAAATACCTTTGCACTGAGCTTCGTAATCTGTCAAACTGAACACATGGATTTCAAGATCCCACTAGAAGCTGAGGATTGTTCTCATCGAACCTGGGGCCCGTTCTCGAAGGTACCGAAAAGTTTTCACACCCGGAAAGCTATAGAAAAATCTCAAACCTTATGATTACAGAGCTGTTTTATTTTCATATTCTTAATCTGAACAGAGATTCACTTCATACAAGTAGTTTCAGGCATATACGCCTCGCGGTTTTTGGATACAGATTATCTAAATATGGCTTTACGGGCCCGAAAAGTTTCCGGGGCTTTCGAGAAACGGGCCCCTGGGCCGGATTATGTCAGAGAGGATTAAAGCAGAAGAGCCAGAGGCTTTGAGGCTTTGAAGATCTTTTGAAAAATGAACAACACGTTTCGTTTTGTTTCCCTCTACATGCAGGGGCATGAGACAGATCTGCTCCTTGAAATATCTGTTCTCTTGCCTAGTTCCTGCTCAGTGGAAATCCAGGGTTATTTATGCTTATTAAAGTAATCCTAAGCCAGACATTGGCTATTTCGTGGGGTTAGTACTAGCGCAATCCCCCACCCCTCCACTGAAGGTGAAGATTGTATAGGGCCCTGTAATCAGACCCACCCCACCCCCAACTTCTCCCTCCCCCTCCATCCGAAGGAGGGTTGGATATTCATGACCTTGGAACCACTTAGTGGGTGTAATAAGATTCGGGTTATTTGTCTGCTAACTGAAAGATGTTTTTGACAGGGAAATTTGTTAAAAAGTAGAAGGTTAATCCTTTCTGTTGGATTTAAGTCTTTCAGTAACCAGGAAATTATTTTTGTTTTTGTTTTGTTTTTTTAAACGCAAATTTCGTTGAGTGAACCTGTGAGTCTCTTGAACTTTCGAGGACATCGAAGTAACC